ACACACAACAACACACACACACACACACACACACACACACACACACACACACACACACACACACACACACACACACACACACACACATACCGCTGTTGTTGTTGTCTGGTGGGTACGCCAATGTCGCTGCCCTCTGGGGTTGACGACGTCTTTATCCTTGCATGGGTTCTGTCCGCGGTTACTAACGTACGTGCCTGTTTGCATGTTGTTGACAGTACACTTGCATGTTGTACGTCCCGTCTTCTTCACACCTTTATATACAACTGTTACACACAGAAAACGGACTGCCTACAAGATAGGGCTATTGAGAGAATATCTATCTTTTCAAACTTGTACGGATGGCTGCATCCCCGCGGCTGCCTCGCTGCTGCTGCTGCTGCCACGGTGTGCTATTTTGGTAGGCAGGGCGTGTAGACTGCCTCCGCGTCGCTGGTTGAATCTGCATTCGCCGTGGTGGCGGCTGCGCATACGGTAGAATCTGATAGTAGCGTTATTGCAATGGTGGCTTCATCGCCACGCATTGACTTGCCATACGGCTTGCTTACTGTTGCGGTGATGGTCGCAGTTACACCTCGATTTCGTCTTCATCCTTTGTGAGCCAGGTTATTCTCTCCTCGTAGAATCTGATTACAATCTGGGGGAATTTAATATTTGCTTGCCGTGCTGAGACCAAATTTACCTCATTGCGGCCTTTCCATTTCATCAAGAACATAAGCTCTCCGCTGGACTCGATTGCGCCGATGATGCACTCTGGTTGGAGTCCTCTCGCGAAGCCACCTGAATTCGAAGAGTCCTCCTCCTCCGATTTCTTTTCCTCTTTCAACTTTCGTTTAAATTCCGGCATCGGATCGCTGTCTAATTTTGCTTCAAGCTTACCGGGTGTCAATGGAGGTTTAGGATGGTCGGGGGCAGTAGTGGTGGGCTCCATAGCGGCGTAGGATTAGATAATAAATGGTGTGGCGGCTTATTCGATATCAAAGTTAACTATTACTAATAATCAATACACTACGTTAAGCTGAGCACGAATCAGTGAATGTTGCACTTACATTATGCATGCCTTCTAGTCCGGTACGTGGGGATCGAGAGAGCATGGGCTGCGTGCTGGTGCGTTGATGCGGGCCGCTGCTGCCGCTCAAGGTCGCGCTGACTGTTCTTGCAGCGTGTTCTCACACGTTCACGTGAGTTCGGCACTGTCTCTTTGATAGGTTCGCGAAACTTTCTGACGATGTGATGATGATGCCGCTCTAACTGCCACTGCTGCTGTTGACGATACTGCCTCTGTCGACGTTGACGGTAACACTGACGCTGACGATGACGCTGATGTTACTGCTGTCGCTCGGATGTCGATACACGTACAGTTCTATGATGCGGTGCTAATGTCATTACTGCTAATGTTAATGTTACTCACGTACGTTCTTCGTTACTCGCTCGCCACTAATGTCTCCTTCTTGTTTCTTGCTCGCACTGCTAACACGCTGACTCTTTCCGCACGAATCCTTGATCACGGCGCCAGATGTACAGGGGTTCTATGTGTGCAAGTGTTATAGACGGTTTATAAGACACGTCGGGAGGTACCCGACTGTGTGTAGGCACGTGATCGTATAGGTGGTAATGTTCTAAACTTTGCGTTGTGTTATTGTTCTTAACCCGTTATTTCGTTTCGTGTTTGCGTTTTCGCTTGAAGGATGTCAGCTTCTCTTTGTCCCTCGTGCGACGTAAGGCGAGTAGCGAATAACTTCACAGTAGAGATAACACGTCTTGTTGTAACAGACATTTATTCTACGTATAGAACTACATGACTTGACTACGTGATTACACAAAGACGGCTGAATTGTCACCACTGCCCGCGCGCCGCGCGGACTCGCGGTGTCAACCCGCGCGCCGTGCGCGGACTCACTCTCTTTACCGTTCTCTTCTGTCTCTCCTCTCACCGCCGGCGCAGCCTTTTTATATTGTGCGCGATGCGCATTGCACCAAGCTCTATTTCGGGTCCGTCTGGGCTTAGCGTCCATCTTTCTTTTCCCTGGCAACGCGACTACGCAGTTAGGAAACTAAGGGCACGCGTTAGACGCGTGCTTTGTGCGCTACTAAGGTGTATGTTATAACAAAAATTCTATTCATTGTAAGTTAATTAAAACATGGTTGTAGGTTGCGACAACGCTAGGATTAGGTCAATATAACATAAATAGATCAGTGCGCGCTGCCTGTGTCTCTATAAGGCCAATCTAAAGGGGGGCTTATGTCGGGCTTGCGAGCCGACTCGACTGGAAGCAACTGGATTTTGAGCAACTAGAAGCGATCGGCAGCGACTAGTTGCGTCCGTGCGTTCATTGCGACTAGTTGCAGTGAATTGCAGCCAGTTGCTTCCAGTCGAGTCGGCTCGCAAGCCCAACATAAGCCCCCCTTTAACCGCGCTCAGGTTTAGCGATGAAGTCATCGCGCTGTAGAATATCTTAACAATAGGCTTAGACGTGTGCCTTATAACTTAACTTAGAGGTAATTTAATAGATAGCTTAAAATCGCGTAGCACGCGTTGTACGCTGCTACACACCATTTTTATCAACATCAGTTCATATACGCCTGATGTTGGAATCTGCCTCATCATACAAGCACTAATTAAGATAATATTTGTATCCTCAAGGTTATGGGAAAAGACCATTACACTGCGTGGTAGCGCTGCTGCTTGCACTTCCTTCACTTTCTATCACACACGAGCGTGAATCTTACAATACTGACATTTTTGGCGCAATCAGGGTTCGTAGCGGGTCTTCCAAAGTCTTATAAGTACTTATTTGGCCAAAAATAAAATAAGGACTCTTATTAGTACTTGTAATAACGAGTTCTTAACCGTCTGTTATCCGTGATCGTATTATTGGACTACGTATATTCTTAGAGATATCGCGGATACATAAATTACCCAACAATGCAGGTACGTTTTAAAGCACACACATTTTTACTGGTCATGAATTACTATAACATATATGCCCAGGTAACTGAACAGAACGTGTACAGATTCGTACGCGACATCAAAGACATAACTAACATATCGGATGGCACTGATGGTTACACACGTACAAGCCTAGCGTGAACCGAGACGTAACTGGTCAGGAGAGGGTGCGGACCGCGCGTACAAAGATTATATACTGCATCCATTCCCATTGTTTTAGATTGTTCATGCGTTTCACCTCGGCTGCTGCCATTGGTGGAGCTGTTCCATTGACCTTTGGCCACGCCTTGGGTAACTCTTTCATTGGTTGACAAGTACGGGGTTAGCCTCGCGTCGGTGACCCACGTTTACACAAAGGCCTGCCCCGTACAATGATTAATTTTGGTTATGATAAACTTATCACATTTGTGTACTACTACTTACTATTTCTGTATTACATTACTCCCCCCTCGGAAAAGTTGGGAGCCGTACTAATGCGGCAAACAACTTCTGTAAAAGTTGTCATGCATTGACTTTAATACGTATTTTATATTAATTTTTGATATTATTATTTTATTTTAGGTCGTTTAAAAAAAAATTTGTTTGATTTTTTTTTTGCCCTTCACCAAAACATTATCTATTTATTACATATATTTTTATTTGATTTTGTATTTTATTATCCTTTTATTTATTTGAATTTTTTTAATTTTAATTTTTAATTTATTTAATTCCGGCGCAGTTGCCTTCGTCGTTGTCCTCGTCCTCCTCGCGGTCGTCGTAGTCGTCGTCCTCATGGTGTTGGTCGTCGTCTTCCTACTCCCACCTGCAGAATTCGTCGTCGTGGTGGTCGTCCTCCCATTCGTCGACGCTCACCCCGGCCGCTGCTGATTTATGAGTGATACACCCAGTAGCGGCGCCTGTTCTATGGGGACGACAGCAATTGTTGTCTCGTCGTCGTCGCGGTGGACGACGGTCTATCCCGGATTGCTAGCCCTGTACTGGCGGACATCTGCCCGGAACGCAGCCTAGCTGGTGTAGCTGGTTTGCTGGTCCGTGCCCTTGTATATTAGGCGGGGTGTTGGGGTGGGGGCCCGCCGGTCGGGTACCGGGTCGGTTGGGGCGTGATGTTCGCTCGCAGTGCCTGCCAATCGATGAGCGGCGCGATGCTGGCCTTCTGCGTTGGCAGCACGTAAAGTGGCTTCGGGGAGGTCAAATCGCGCTGCGCTCTCCACGCTAACGGAACGCCCGACGGGGTGCTGTGCTCTTGGTGCTGTAGCGGTGCAGCGCCTTTGTCAGAGTCGCTGTAGTATATTATTTCCTGTTCCACGCTGTCGCTGTCGGAGTTGCTGTGGTTCATTGTCTTTGGTGGTGTTGCTATTTACTGCATGTGCTCAAAAGAGACTTGGTTAGTATACTATGCTATATTGCCCGTTTCTGCAATTATGACATTGGTAAATGGCACTCTGATAATACCGTGCTTATACACACACACACACACACACACACACACACACACACACACACACACACACACACACACACACACACACACACACACACACACACACCAAAAACAACGCAGCAATATACGGTTAAAACATGTGCGTTAGTGCGTCATAAAAATAAATGGAAAGCTACTGGTAAACATGGTGCTACATACCTGAACACACGTGAAACATACTGTGTAATACATTGTGCAACATACCTTGAAATTATATCGTGAACATATAATGAAGTTATATCGTGAACATATAGTGATGTTATATCGTGAACATATAGTGATGTTATATCGTGAACATATAGTGATGTGCACCTTCGTGCGTGATACAACATGTGTCTGTTAGGTACAGGGTGACAAAATACATCGCATGTGCATCGTTATCCTTACAAACTATGGAGCATTCTTAGTCTAGTCTGCATATTTCTTAGTATAACGTTTTAAACGAGGGAGTGTTTTGATCTCCACTTCTTCGTTATTATCCACATTCTCTAGCGGATGTGCTCGTACTCTGTGGAGCATTTCTTTCTCCATTTCTTCAGGGTGCGCTGTCAGATACAAACGCTGCGAAACGAAGGGCGCGGTTACATTAACGGGTTGCAATAGGGGTTGCACAGTGGGTTGGAGAATGGTATGAGTCGGTGTGGTACCGGTGAATGACTGGCATAAGCGGGGGCGGAGATGTGGTGGCGCACAGCAACAATATAACACGACAATTGCTATGACAGCGATGGCAACATAGATAACTATTTGATGCCACTGTATGTGTGCACTCTGAAATTTTTTTTAAGCTGCTTTATTCGTATCAAGAATCCTTCTGCTATTAGCTATGGCATCCTTAAGATGATCATATGCTGTATTTAAATCATGCGATTCATACAGTTTATGGGGCACTATCGTTTGCGGAATGAGGTCTGTGGCATTACCTATTTTTACAGCCAATTGAGCTAGATTAGCCCATATTGTAGGTGTCTGGAGCGACCTAGGTAAGATATCGTCTAGCAATTTCGTCAGATTTACAGACGAGTCATGAAAATAAAACGTTGACAAGGTAAGGTCAGCCGAATGAGCACTACAACCCGATTGCAGCGATACAAGTTGGCGTGACGTTATTTCTATGTCCGTAATAGTAGGTTCCTGGTCATTGGTAGTCTGACATGACACGGTTAATCGAAACGTCTTTGCTGGCGACAAAATCCAGTGACCATTACCAATATACGTAACGAGATGCTTAGGATTAGCACACATCTTGACCCTCCATTGACAATAGGTTTGTATGTGCTCGGCTTGCCTTAAAAATAACGCAACTAAACAATCCTTAGACCCTCTAACATAATAGATCTCAGATTCTGCCTGGCAGATGTTATGCGTCTCGTGAAGGCACTTACGTACTAGGTTCGGTTCAGGATAAAAATAACGTGTTTTATCTTGCGCAAATGCAACGTATTCCTTATCTAACACATAATACACGTGTGCCTGGGTGGCATTAATATATTGAGGTGCT